CGGTATTTTAGAATTTAATAGTTTTAAAAACACGGAGTTGTGAATATATTTTTTAAGGCTGGTGATGCATAGGTGGAAAGGAATTATGCTTTCCTTAGATGTTTGACTGTGAAACAACTAAAGCATGGATTTATATATAGTATGAATAGCATGAATTTCTTCCTGTAAGGGTAGCAAGTTTCTGTATACGTGTTATGATTTTAGATAACACGCTGCACTTTATATACTGAGCTCGGCGAGTTATTCAAGTTTGATGCTCGAGAGTCCACAATTACCATCAGTTGTTGACTTGTCATTCGATTACAATGGTAGCAAAACACGATTCAATATAGTTCAGTTCGCCAACATTAACGCTGTTATCATTTCTGATATTGAGAAGATCGGGCAAACTGTACATGTAAGTTATACTTTATATTCTGGTTGGACTGGTTTCTTTTTTCCTTTTTTTTCTTTTAAACTACGCATTTTGTTAAGGGTAGTCAGGAAATGCGATTTTCGTCTTTCAGGTAATATTTCCTGAGGCAGTCATTACTTCTAGACTTCAGCCGACACATAACATTGATTACGACACAAAAGTCCTCTTAGGACCACCACTGGTAATTCTTTCATTACTCAGCATAGTACGTCTCTTGCTGGTAGCCAAACTACTTCACGCTAATCATTGCATCGACAGATGAATTTCTTCATGTGTATATTCTTTCTTATTTTCCATGTTCTTTCGTTTCCTTAGGTAAATTATTTAATCGTTTTACTCATTTTAATGAGAATTTTTTTTTATTTTAGCTCCAGTTTTCTCTATTGTCCTTAACACTTCAGATTCATACATGATTTTAATTTTTCAGGGTGATTTCGATCTTCTTGTGAATCGCTTTGTGAGAATATTAGTTGAGCACAATAATCGGTGTGATTTCCTATTTTCATTGGGCCTAGATCATTTCGATATAGATCATGCGCGGTGCATTGTGGCGAAACTCAGTGAATATTTGTCACATTAAAGTAAGTTAAGGATAAAAAATAGGGCAAAAGTAGAAAAAATAGCGAAGCATCGAAATAAAAGAGAAGGCGGAAGAAATATTACCATCAATGTGGTTATGACTGCCTGTTCCAGAGTGGATTTTTTGCTAGTTACTTGAATTCTAAATTCACTCATTTTATCTAACTGTTTATTACTATCATTATTATCATCACCATCATTATTGTTATTATCATTACCATTAATTATTGTTACAATTATTATCATTATCATTATTATTGATGCTAGTCAGCTTAAAAGTATTCATATCACTGTTTAACACGTTGGCTAACTCTTGTTTTATATATTGATATGCCGGATTTTGTCATATAGTACCAAAAAATAATATTGAGCAGTTTAGTTCGAGTTTTTTCAGAGTCTTCCTAAAAATCATAGCTGTTGGAAAATATTTTTCCGAATACAATCTCGGCAATTTTTCTCTGGAAATGGGCATGTTAAATGCGTTTTCTTACCTAAAACTTCATTCAAAAAATTCATAAAACCTCGTGAAAGAGCCAGGGTGGATTCAGAGCTGGCACGTCTAGCAAAATTCGACGAATTTTATGAATGGCAATTGACGGAATCAAACAGACAGTCACTCCCAATGTTAGTTTATGAATTATAAATATTTCCAGTGCAAGGATGCAAACCTATCGAATTATTTTTGTTTTAATAGTTCGATTTTCCCCTAGTTTTTTGTACATTGGTAATTGATTAGCTACTTTTCAGTTTTGAACTTTTGGATGGTCCACCCTATGCAAATGGTGATGTACATGTTGGACATGCTATCAATAAAATCTTAAAAGATTTTGTCGTTCGCAGTCAGGTTTACATTGGGAAGCGTGTTCTATTCCGTCCAGGATGGGATTGTCATGGACTTCCAATTGAATTAAAAGTAACAAGAGACAATCTACAGAAGGTTATTAACATTGTATTCTTTGATAAAACGATATATACGACCATCTTGCTACTTTTAATTTACGATGAATTTTTTTAATATCAATATGGTTTTTCTTATGTCTGAATTGAATATTTTGAAATATCTGGAAGTTTCTGTTTGAGAAAGTAACACACTTCGTTTTTTGTCTATTTTTCCAGCCAAAGAATTCGGCATTTAAGGATACTTCACTCATTGAAATACGAAAAGCGGCTCGGCAGCTAGCACTGCATTCAATTTCTTCTCAGCAGAATTCATTCAAGAGATGGGCAGTCACAGCTGACTGGGCAAATCCTTACTATACAATGGATAAGAAATATGTTGCAAAAGAACTCAAACTTTTTGGTGAATTGTATAGACTTAAGATGATTTATCGAGCATTTATGCCGGTTTACTGGTGAGGTTGCTTTTCTTTTTCGAAATTATGAATGTCTGTTATTGTGTCCTTTAGTTTTTTTTTTTTTTTTTTTTTTTGAGATTACACGTAGCACGAAAACTTTCCATGTTAGCGATGCAATAATGCCGCACCAGGAAGACAAGCAAATGTGGTACTGTAACTGGGCACTTTTCATCCGTTCAAGTTAATGTTTGCATCAGTAGTTAATAGGGAACTGTATCCCTTTAACAGTTTCATTTTTGGAAGTTTCATATTTTCAGGTCACCAAGTTCATTTACAGCTTTAGCGGAGTCGGAATTGGTGTATAAGAAGCATAGCAGTACGGCCATTTTTTATCGATATGTGGTAGTTTTGCAGTATTTTAAGTCCTTAAATCTTTACTATCATCACTAAAATTTTGACCGCAGTAATGTTTTTCATATGTACAGTTTATGTTATACATTGAGAAACCTGAAGTTGACAATTTAAATAATTTTCCCAAAAATCTAAGGGGAAATGTTTGCAGATAATAAATTCTGGATTAATCCTTTCTAAATGTGAGAAAGAGGATCGGCCAACAAAACTCTATGCATTAGTTTGGACGACAACTCCGTGGACATTGCCAATGAATAACGCAGTTGCGTACAAAAAAGATGCGATTTATGCAGTAGTGGAATTGCTTGCCGAAGGACACTATCGGTTGGTATAAATGAAACAGATCAGTTCTCTAATTAAGCACTTAGATAATTACATGGTTTTATCAGCCAATTAATCATTTAGTTGCAACCCGCAAATAATATAAAGTTTGGCTTAATTTTACAGGCGTCCAACCCGGCATTTATATATTTTGGCAAAGGATTTGATTAGCAGTTTCAAGAAGGAAACAAAACTCATGATTAGGATATTGTCCACTTTTGCTGGCATTGAACTGAAAGGACTCATGTATCGAAATTCAATGTTTAGTGACTTGGCACAGCCATTTATAGATGCGAACCATGTAACCACTACTGTTGGAACGGGTCTTGTACACCTAAGTTATGCGCATGGCGTAGATGATTTCAAAGTAAGTGTTTTCAGTCATTTGTAAATATTATTTTAGAAATTTAGAAAATATTTCATTTGTTCAGTTGCTGAGATATGGAATGTTTGTCGTTTTATAATAATTCACCCTGATTTGTTCATCATTCTTTTTCAGGTAGCATTAAAACTCGGTGAAAAAGTGCGCTGCTTTGTGGATGAACGGGGCTGTTATACAAGGGATCTTGGTCATGATTTAGAAGGTAAAAGTGTTTTGGATGATGGGAACGATGCCGTTCTGCAAATGTTCAAGAAGAACATTGTCCACACGCATCAGTACGAACATCAATACCCTTATGATTGGAGAACAAAACAGGTGTCATATATAGAAAGCTTTATTAATGAAATTTCATAGAAAATTATTAATTGAAATTTCAAGTACATATGCTTTCCAGAAATTGTTTTGTTGAATTTTTCTGAAATTAGCTAAACCGATCAATTTATTGGACTCACAAAAGCTTTTTAATGGAATAAAAAAATTGCAGTGCATTAGTAATGTTTGTTGAATGCGTAAAATTAGCGCAGAATTTTAGCCGATAATCATACGAAGTAGTAAACAGTGGTTCATTGACGTTTCGCGGGTTGGTGCTGCAGCAGCCAGAAGAATTGAGATCGAAGCACCGCCTATAGGGAGTCCTCATTCAGGTAGTTCTCTTCAGTGGAATACAGCGTTGGATTTATGATTTTGACTTGTCCATATAGTCAGTCGTCCCTATCTTTTCTCTTAACTGGACTTTCTGGTTCACGGTCTGATAGGATGTATTTGTTCTGCCGACATGGATTTTTTTCCATAAATCTCTCTTTGTGTTTAATAGTTCTCTGTTCTCTAATCATTCCGATCGTTTTTAGGAATCATATTTCTTAATTACCCTTCACCTATTCGTTATTGGACGTTTACTGTTTGGTAAAAATTTAACAGTGGTATTTTTCCGTTTAGATAAAACAGAGGCTCTGTTAGCGCAACTAAAAAACCGAACCACCTGGTGCATTTCACGGCAGCGATGTTGGGGTACACCGATTCCTGTATTTTATAAGGCAGACGGTAGCGTCATCGCGGGTGCGGATATCAGTAATGCCGTGGCAGAGAGCATTGAAAAATATGGTACTGACGTTTGGTGGGAGCGTACGGCGAATGAGTTATTTCCTACAGAAGTATTAATTATTAAAGTTTATTTTGTTGTTTGTGGCTTTTATATGAGTTGAGTTTGTAGTCCTTTACCTCTTCATTAATTGAGGATATTAGTTGTTATACGTACTTACTGTTTCCTCCCTATTTTTCCACCTTATCCTTATCTTTCCTCCCTATTTTTCCACCTTATCTTGAAAAAAAGGATGTTTTATTTGAATCGTCATTACCATGGGTAGGCTTTGCGAACAAAGATTTGGGAAAGGCTCTAGCCAAGCTTGTTGCAGGCGCTACAAATGTAGGTGTATCCTTCGAGTCTGCGCAGTGGATTTTTTAGATGAAGCACAGCGTGCGTGGAACTGGCCTCCACCCTTTACTCTTAAGGTTCATCGTCCAGAACCTAGTGAACTTGGATGGTGATAGTGAAATCCTTGGGTCGTAGATTTAATTAGAGTATCTTTTCTGATGACTTGGATGACCTTGAAGGGTTAAACAAGCTCCATTTGCCCGAATTCGGAGTTAGAGTTATCTTTCTTCTGGGATGGGTGCCGAAAAAGTAGCTAGCTCATCTTCCCGTAGGTACATTTTTTTTGATCCTTCGGGAATCTGGAATCTCTAGTTTGGGAGGCCCTACCGGAGACACCGTTAACATAGCTCATACCTCATAAGATCGCAAGCTTTTCCCTGTGACAAGGGTGTGTCTGTGGAGAATTTATACCGGAGGATGTAGATAAAATACCATAAACCGCAATTTATCCGAAACTTACATCCCTAAATTCATTCAAGTATTACAGTTAATGAATAAATATGGAATTAGAGTGGGAGAAGAACTGGAAAAATCATGCGACATATTAGATGTGTGGGTGGATAGCGGAGTTGCGTGGGCATCGACACGCGAAAGAATGGAACCTGTCGATCTGATTCTGGAAGGCGTTGACCAGTTTCGAGGCTGGTTCCAGTCGCTTTCGTTAACTTCATTTGCTTTGAATGTTGGTTATAAATCTCAACGAAGTAAACTTGAAGTAAACCGAAAAATAACAATGTCTTGTGTTTCAAGTAATTCATTTGCCCCAGTCAAATTAGCAGGCTGGTATCAAAGCTAGTTAAGCAGAAATGCATTTGCGAATATCAAAGTGCAGCACCATTA